GAGGCTGGACTAGAAGACCTCCAAGGTCCCTTCGAACTCTGATATTCTATGTTCTAAACAGAACCAGTGTCTTTACCAGTACCTTTCTTCATTCTATTTTAAGGTTTTCTTAAAAAGAGAAATTTGATGTTCTGCTTCTTGAATGAAGTATTCTGACAGATCAGAGCCAGTGGTGGGATTCAGCCAGTTTGCACCAGTTCAGGAGAACTGGCTGTTAACTTTCTGAGCAGTTTGGTGAACTGGTTGTTGGAAGAAATCATCAGGGCAGAGAACTGGTTGTTAAATTATTTGAATCCCACCACTGATCAGAGCCTCTTCGATGTCGCCTTGAAATGAAAGGAAGATGGCACGTTTTCATTCTTCTTACTTTCATTGCACCAGATGGTGAAAAAAAAAAAAGTAGTTTTGCCAATAATTCTCCCTGCTGTTCCTTTCTAACTGATTCTAACATGCTCCCTTTGAGGTTTCCCAGTATCAGGAAGAATCAGCGAAGGGGAAAAAAGCAATCTGGAATATTCTCCTTTCAGAGTTCAGAATACGATGTTGAGGGAAGAGTACAGAGGATAGCAACAAGGATGATTAGGGTCCCTAATGGAAAAAAAAAAACAAAAGGAGATTTCTTCCAACAACCAGATCTCTGAACTGCTCAGAAAGTTAAGAAATGGTTCTTGCAAATAGGTGCAAACTGGCTGAATCCCACCACTGATTAGGGGGGGTGGAAGCTAAAACATATGAAGAATGGATGCAGGAATTGGGTATGTCTAGTTCAGGGAAAAGAAAGACTAGGGGTGATGTAACAGCATATTCCAATATTTGAGGGGCTGCCACAAAGAAGAGGGGGTCAACCTATTTTCCAAAGCACCAGGACAAGAAGCAACAGAAGAAAACTAATTAAGGAGAGAAGCAAGCTGGGATTAAGGAGAAACTTCCCCGCAGTGAGAACAATCAGCCAGTGGAATGGTTTGCTTCAGAAGTTGTGAATGCTCCATCATTGGAGGCTTTTAAAAAGAGAAGGGACAGCCATTTGTCTGAAGTGGTACAGGTCTCCTGTTAAAGCAGGGGAATGCACTAGATGACCTCCAAGGTCCCTTCCAACTCTGTTATTCTATGACATTCCTGCTAGTTTTTCTAAAACTCTTAAAACCTGACTGTGTACCTGGCCCTGGGGCATGGAATGTGTGAAGGGACCCATAACTTGGCTTCACTATTAACAGATTAATCATCATGGTTGCTGTTTATATGTATTTCTTTTGTGGATGTTTTTATTTTTTTAATGTCTTTTAAATTGTTTAAAAATTTTAGACTTGTAAGCTACCTAGTGTCACTTGGTTGATTTGGGCAACCACTGAAAATAAATAAATAAATAAATAAAATTTAAACAGCCCCATGTCTCTTTCAACTGCAGGATTATACTCTAAATTAATCAGCTTGTGGCAATTAAAACCAAGAGACACATGGGCATGCTCACACCCACACAAAGCACAAGGCATGGGATGAATTCTTAATCATCCAAAAACTGTTTTTGATGACCAGTCCCTATTTCTATGTCCCATTTTCCATTTGTAGCATAGGGGAAACTATCACTGAAGGGAAATTGAATGAGCCTGTATCCATTCTGTAAACTTAAATGACCAAAACCACAACTAAGCAAAAGCAGAAAGTCAAACTAAAACTGTTATTGTGGGTCATTAACTTGGTCACATATTGAAGAAATTAAGATTAATTGTTCAAAGTGGGTATGAGCCCTCAAAGGACAAAGGATAGTAAGCATGAAAAGAAGCTAAATATTGCATCAACTCTTCATATGACAGCTTTTGTTCATCGTGGGTTTATACTCTGAGTTTAAGAAAGCTAACAAGATAATTAATTCCTAGGATTTCTATTGTGTTCTGGAAATTAGAGACTCACACATAGCTGAGAAGCCATGGAAATTATGGAATAATCTAAATATGAGTTCTCAAGTAAAAGGAGAGATATATCCAAAAGGTAGAAAAGCAGGATAATCTGTCAGATTCGGTTGGATTAACACAACATGCTGAATCCTAAAACTGGATTAACATAACGCAGTCCCTGTGTTCATATAACATGCCATGTCCACCCAATAAATCATACTGTGTCTTAATTTAAGAACCTGGATCATATAACATGCTAAGACAATAGTTGGATTTCCACAGTATGATTCCATGGTATGATTTGATTGCTTATTGTACCCTACGACTATTAAGTGTTGTACCTGATGATTCTTGATGAATGTATCTTTTACACTGAGAACATTTGCACCAAGACAAATTCCTTGTGTGTCCAATCACACTTGGCCAATAAAGAATACATTCTATCTATCTATCTATCTATCTATCTATCTATCTATCTATCTATCT